TCTTAAATGTGTTCATCATTCTTCTGGTCAGATTATTTTTGAATATGATGCTTGTGTATTAAGTTAATTTGATCTGAACTATTCACTTTTTTATAATTTCTAAACAAGTGTTGCTTACACCTGCTCCACCATCAGCCTCATGTCTTCAGTATAATTTATCTTTACTAATAGATATCAAAGGATGGACTTGTTTATTTAGTAATTTGGGTGCTGGTATTAGATAATCTTTCATCATATTGTTTAGATTTTCAAGAGGTGAGTGCTCTCAAAAATATTTTTGAGTGGTCTCAAAAATAAAAGTCCAGACTGCTTCCCTGTTTTACTTCTGCATTTTCCACTGAAACAAACTTCTAGCTAATCCTTGTTTGCCCATTACTAACAATTGTACCTGCATATGGGCTTTGTTCACGCAACCAAAACACCACTTATTTCATAATGAAGTAAGTGCATGTTGCTAAAGGTTGGGGGCACTTCCTTATTTTTTTAATAGCATGCTAGAGAAGTATAACTGCCTTAAGATCAGTATTAATTATAAGAATTCAAACTTCTCCTTCTCTTGCTGTTATAAATATGAGAACAACATATTTTGTAGGACCTCAGCCCATCCAATGCCAGTGCGGAAAAAAACTTGAATTGAGTTATGACTCTTTGTCAGTTTATATGATCCCATATAGTAATGAGAAATTTTCTATAGCACCCCTTGGCAGCTAAATCAAGGGTGAGTCACTAGCTCCAGCTTAACATATAAGGGTATCTGAGGTGACAAGACAAGCAGGAAGAGGACAAGAGCTCTGTAAGAATCCCTGAGAACAGCAAATTCAAGTGGAAATAAAAGTTTTCAGACTGGAGTATACTGTGGGCAGTTTACAGTTACTAAGAAGGGCAGAGCCCTGGGGACAGGTTTAATCTAAAAGTATGGCTTTTGTGCTGCATAGTATGCAAATAAAGAAGTTAACTAAATTTTGTCAAAACATTTCAAAAGTTAGCTAGTTCTGTTTTAATCCTATCTTTTCTCTGCCCTGTTTTTAATCCTGTTAATTAGAGTTGCATATTTTCAAGTAACTTGCTTCCAGATTATTAAGGCTGCTGCCAAAACTGCATTGCTCATTAAATTCTCCATAATATTAGCTCTTCTTAGCAGTTCTAATACAAAAAAAGTCTTTGCCAAATATTTTTGGAGGAGAGAAAATACTAATACTTGGCACATTTTTACCCTTTGCAACGTTTTATACAGACATTCATTTGCAGATATTAACTGTACTAAACTGCTTTATACCTCTCTCAGGTTATGGAAATTCAGGGTTTACGGTAGAGGGGTTTGCATAATATAAAGCGATGTCTTGTGATAGGTGGAAAATTGTATAACTTTAACATGGGAATACTTGGGAGTTTGTATTCTTTAAACAACTACTAATAATTAAATAATATGTGTTTGACACTGCAGTTTCAATGCAGTAGGTGTTTTATTTGTATTCTCAAAACAACTCCGCTTCCTCAGCTCATGTAAGCATATCTTTCAAAATTAAGTCCATTCCTACTTGTAATCTGTTCTCTGTGTGTTTTCCTGTGTAGGACTGGACTGATAATTAAGTGCTGTTTAACAAAATTGGAGGAAATAAATAAGCCAGTAACAGAAATCTGTTTGTATGAAATCATTATATAAACAAATTAATAGTGATATAAAATCTTATCATTACTTTGAATATGTCATTTGCTGATATATGGATAATGCATTTCTTTTTTTATATATCACAGAATGTTTATAAAGGGTAAGTAGATGACTGCAATCAAAATAATGATAAATCTTACACTAAAACCTGCTGCTTTCATTCAAAGGCACCCTGAAGCACTTTGCAGACTGTTATATATAGGAAAATAAATTAAAAATATAAAATTACACTGAGATTTCATCAGTATCTCTTGGTAATAATTACAGGATTTGATCAGATTCATTCATCTCCCATTTGGCTATTAATAGGAATATAACACACTCAGAATTCAATCTTTATTCTCTTAAGGGAATTTTCTTTGGTGAGGAAAAACTTCAGAGACTTTCTCCACCCTCTTAATGTGCAAAGTCTTTAAATACCAGCAGAAACATTATCACTTGCAGGAATTAAGTGTTCGAGCTGTGATTATTTCTAAGTGTGTAGTACAAAGTCAAGCATTATAATCAGTCTTTGGTTTATAACTTTTTTGACTTTGTCAGAGCTGATTAGTATGTCCAGAGGAATCTAGAAGTACCCTAGAAAAACATAGCAGAGCCACTCATTCTCTTGAGTGTATTTGGCTTTTTTTTGAACATGTGGGCCAAAAGCAATCATTATCCTTTTTATATTAAGAGCGAACGAACTACATAAGTTCTGCTGGAGAAAAGACAATGCACTTCTTTCAACTCTTAGTCCGGTACTCCCAGCCCTCAATAGCTTCTGTGCAGAGGAGAAAGTATTTCCTACAGTGATGAGACAAGAAAGAGATTGTCAGAAAATAAGTCTATTCCTTAAAAGAATTCTAAAATTTAAATTTATTGTCATGGCAACAGCTTTAAAGTGACCATATCACAAAATGCATTAATAAAATATTAAAAATAGTAGAAATATGATCAGAAAAGAGAGATAAAATTGTTACTGCTCATTTTTATTTCCTTCAAAGAAGGTGAAAGCTATTGGTGACAGGAAAAGGGCTGCCCTTTAACATCCTTATTTGGAACTGAAATATTAGCTCTTTTTGTGAGAGGGGAAGGAAAGAAGAGAAATGTCAATAGTTTTCTTTTTAGTACTCTTTGAAGAATTCTTTATTTTAAATAGACATGTCCATCTTTAAAGCATTCTTTGAAAGAGTAACAATCAGCAGAGAAATCCAGTCTCAGAGGAGAATCTCAGAAAGAGTAGAGTAAAGTGATGACCTACATTTATCCCCTATTAGAAGGGAGTGGGTCCCATGGATACAGGTCTTTAGCAGAGATGGAAGATTAGATCTACATAGCTGACTTTGTTATTCACTCTTTTCTTCCTTAAAGGGAAAGCCCTTTAATCTCCCTTTTCTTATATTTCCTGTCTCTAAATTGATGAATATGAGACCTTTGTAAAGGGCACCGCATTGTGTGGATTAAAAGCAGTATGCTACAACCTAGCACAAACTGGAGAAGCAGCCTGTGAGGATTAGTCCTCTCCATTTTCCTTCCTTTCTAGCAGTCCCCTGTAGCTGCCTCACCTACACAACACCTGGTTTAGTCATGTCCACCCAGAGAGGGTTAATGATCTCAGCAACACAAATTGCCCACAAAGAAAGGCAAGTGTTCTGAAGGGGAAGAACATACAGATTAACTAAAACATTCATCTAGTGTCTGAAAAACTCCAGTAATTAAATCTGTAATTACTCTCTTCATCACAGAGAACAGACGTGATTTCCAATGAACTGTTGTTCGGAAATGTGATGGTTATTTTCTTAATTACTTCAACTGTGCTTCTTTTAAAAAGAATGTTTTGCCTTCCAAATCTTCAGAAGGGCCCAGTGAAGATGATGGCTGGAGATGCTACCATAAAATACTTCTGCGCTACTGGAAAACTCTGAGCATTACCACAGATAATGCAGATCCCTGCTGTGCTTCCCAGTTGTTAGCAATCTAAAGAGTCAGATCATGGAGTCATCCAAGTTAGAGATTAAAAAGCCTTTCAGTTTCCTGAAATCCTTTCAGGAAGAAAACTAGTTATAGTCACTGTGCACTTCAGTAACTTTTCCAGATCCTGAATTTATCCTTCATCCTATGGTATTTTTGAACAAAGGTATTGGTTTTTAGATCAGAAAGTTCCTTAGTTAGATATTTAATTACATGGCAAGGTACATCTAAAAAGAAGGAGAAAAAAAAGAGGGAGAAATAAGTGTATTTATTTTGTTTCCTCTTACTTTCTTTTGTATCAAAAAGTACAGTCCTAACACAAGGAAAGGAAAGGGGAAAGGAAAGGAGAGGAAAAGAGAGGAAAGGAGAGGAAAGGAGAGGCGAGACAGGGCGAGGCAAGATGAGGTGTGGAAAGGCAAGGCGAGATGAGGTGAGGTGAGGAAAAGAGAAAGGAAAGGGGAAAGCGGAAAGGGGAAAAAGGAAAGGGGAAAGGAGAAAGGAGAAAGGGAAAAGGGGAAAGGAGAAAAGTGGAAAGAAAGGCACCTAATTAAATTTCATTTATTTTCTATTTGGAAGAAACAGCAATTAATGTGACAGCTGGATTAATCTCTTGAATTGATAAAGGAAAAATGTTGTAACTGTGCATTTGGTCTAAGCATGAAAAAGGCATCAGGTTACTCACTGCAGTTGAAATCAGGAGCTGTTAGACAAGCCTATAAATTGAGTTTTAGTGATCTTGGAACTAAAATGGAGTTTGAGCTGCATACTCATAGATTCACAAGTTTAGGGTTTTTTGGACTTAGGCACTTAGTGTTAGAAATGACAGGACTAAGATGACAAGCCTTTTCAGATAATTAGTCTTTAATTTCTCTTTTTTAATATAATAGTAAAAATGTTAAATATAAAAGAAACCCTGTTTCCTTTGTATGTAGAGATTGTATCATTAGGATAACAATTGGCAGCAACTAGAGCAAAAAAGATACACTTCTAGGAAGCATTAGGATTTTTTTTTCCCTCTCAGAAGACATTAGCAAGGACATGAATAACAAAGTGTTACCCACTAGTATGGAGCCAGTCAGTCTGGAAAGCAGGGAGACCCACACAAGCCCAGCTGAGTCCAGGACTGGCTGCAAAGCAAGATGCTACTCTGACTGTGTGCCTGGGTGACAGTAGATGCTATCCACCTGCTTTCCAGTAAACGGGCAGCATTATTGCTCAAACTGGTGTCATTTGAGACAGGTTTTTAGATGGTAACATTGTACTTGTATAATTATTGCATATCTATTCTTTGGGTACTTAGTTCACTGAATGGTAATAATGATCAAGGAAATTGTTTTAATTTTTCACAATTGCTTTCTTTTTCTCTCTCTCTGTAATTCAGGAGGAAAGACACTGGGATGTTGTCATACAAAGAGCACCTACCAGTGAGTCAGGTAGTGGTTGGAGATGTTGACCGGCCTGGGTCTGAAGCCAAGATATCTGTGGGTCCCGTTCGCTGTCAAGGAGATCGTAAGTTGGCGTTTTTTCTTCCACTTACTCCTGGGTAGAAAGCAAGCTGAATTGGAAATTGGTAACTCTATAGACATCCCATGCACAGTTAGAGAAGTGACTGTCTACTCAGAGCCCTTTTTCTATGAAAGCATGATATGATTTGAGAGATTTTGTCTACAAAACTGCACATATAATGGCTCATCTTTGCTTTTAAAATATCAATATTTGTCTTTTTTTTTATGGTAAATGTGGAAATTTTGATCATTCAACTAGGTTTATGTAGATATAAGCAGTAATACATATTGCATTAGAAATCATAAGAAATCTGTGTTTCTTGTCGGTGTCATTATCATTGCTATGCATATCACTGTAAACTATGGGATATAAATAGTAGCATGATGACAAAACTTACCACTGTAAACTCTGTTTACAGGTGTATAAAATTTGACAAGATTGTTATCAAGCATTAACCATATCAGGTCTAGACATGTTTCCATGTAAAACATTGAGAGTTTTTTGTAGCAGTCTCTGATTTCCAGGCTGAGTGCTGATTAGAAGTGTACATCCTCCAGTTTGATCAGCATGTGAAAGAGTAAATCAGTAAAATGGAAAGTTTGCACTTCACACATGCACAAAAAAGCTGGGATGCAGTGGGGAGGATTGGATTCTTCCTTCAACTTACTTTGTATTTCAAAAGGTGAAATTCACCACTGAAGGCAGAGAAACTGCCTAAGGCGCTTTTAAATCACACTTCAAAAACTTAAACTCTGTGCAGTTGACACATACGTTGTACTTGACCTCTGTATTTGAAGGCCATTTTGTTACAAGAGGTGTGCTAAGGAAAAATTGCCTGATTTAATTTACAATTACTCATATTCACATGGTCTATAAGGAATATAAAATCCATCCTCATATGCTGGTAAAGTTTACTATAAGTCAGCCTATGAGACTGAAATGGTGTAGAAACATTGAATGGGTGGACATAGTACATGCAAGGTGAACATTCTTGTTCTATCCAGTCTAACATGGCACAACAAGGATGAGCACTGTTTGTCCTTCCTCCTCTATACTTTGACAGATACATGCTTTCCATCTGCATGTTTCTAAGTACTTTACAAAGGAGGTCAGTATCATTATCCCTGCCTTAAGTTAAAGTAATAAATCCCAACTGAGGGTAAGTCTTACACTCAGAGTCATCTGTCAGAAAAGTACAAAAGAGAATTTTCCAGGTCCCAGTCTGGTGCCTCAAAACCCTAAGCCATTGCTCAGTGATACAAATGGATGTGGTTTAGCCTCTTTTTCTGTTTGTGATCTTTCTGGGTTGTGCAAATGATTCCTCCAGCTTTTGTTAATGAATCTGATGCCTAACATGCAGAAACAAATATCATTGGATGTTTGCAGACTTTCACATCACCTATTTGTTGCTTGCTATTTATGGCGTTTGGCTAATCATAGGTCAGTTTGTGTTTGTTTGTTTCTCAGCCATGTTTGACAAACATTTTCATAAAAGTCTCTTACAACCCATGACTAATAAATAACAAATAGCGTCTTTCTTGCACCTGTATTCCTCATATTCTGAATCTGAGTACTGCTAGAAATATCAGTCTCTAAAATGTGAGCCATTTCTAAATATTAGTATAAAAGAAACCTCACTTAAGCAGATAGTAGCATTTTTTAGAGTGTGACTGAGTGACACAGACATTTGGGAAACTGAACAGATGTATTCCTCACATCCTGCTTAATTGAATTTTCTGTTTGAAATTTACAGATATGATTTATGGTTTTAAAAATACTTTGCTTATGAATAAGCTTATATTTCCTTCCATGACCATATATTATAGTCAAAAAGCTGGTATAAGTTTTCTTACATGAGATAATATAAACCCCAGTCTTTTGCAGTTAGTAAAAGCTCTCATGTTATATTCTCAGAGCATTTACCAAGCATTCTCCTTATTCTTTCTTAACCGTATACAACAGCTACTGTACCCCAGATCAATACTATTTGACGATGGATTAGAGTTTATGGAAAATGAGTTTTCTGTCCTGGAGAAAATTCAAAAATTTCAAAATGTGCTTTTGTTCCAAATGGAAGAAAGATTCAAAGTGCTGAATTTGTGGAAAGGGAATTTTAATAAAACAATTAATCCATTTTTGGTGCATTAGATGCATCACAACCAACATTATTAATACTAAAGATGTTGACTCTCATTACAGCACAAAAAGTTCAGTTGCATGTGTTTTATATGTTGTTATCATTGTATAATTTTTGAAGGTAGTAAATGAAATTTGGTTAGAGGTATGAAGACTGACAAAAAAAATACAGATTTTTGGTCTGGTCGGAAGGAGAATGGAAAAGGTAAGAGTGTCTAACCAGTCAAATAAAAATTTACCTATAGAGAAGGATTTCCCATTGTGATTGTAGAGCCTGTCAGTACTGTGACGATTTATCTCATATTGCCCTGAGGGTCATCCATGGCATGTGATGTATCAATCCATAGTCCAGTGATAATTTGCAGCGCATGAAAGGCCATATTCTCACATCAGAATTGCAGTATAAATTTCCATGCACTTCACAGCTAGTTCTGTGTAACATTTAGAGACATTGACATGTCACCTAGGCCCAGTCACAGCTGTACCTGAGAACTGTAAGAGTACAGCAGAGATGCTGGAATTTTCAGTCCATTAGAACAGACAGCTGAAAGCTTGTTATTTGAGGGCAAGGAGTATTAAAGAAAGCAAAGATATGTGCTGTCTCATGCAGTTCCCTTCATCCTATACCCACCAAATTCTTAAAGAATCAATCAATCAGTTTGGGCCACAACAATTAACCATTCCTACACTGTCAAATGATCAAAGTATATCCGAAAATCATTCATCTTAGTGCTATTTATTTGACACAAACCAAGGAACATTAGGAATGTAGTACACTTATTGAAGAATTCTAATTGTTCCCCTATTGAAAAAAACACTAGATTCTTCTTTCAGAAATATAGATTTTATTTTGTTCCCACAAATGGCAATTTCATTTTTCTATTCCCCTGATTTATGACCTGATTAAGTCTGCTCTGGGCAAGCTTGGATGTGGCTATGGTAGGAAATAAAATTAGAAAACTTGGCCATGTATGATTATCCATCTTTGTGTTCCAGAAGTATTTTTCATATTTAGCTGCACCTCACAAAACATTATTTGCATCCTGAAAAGTAGTTAGCAAAAAGGGCCTTTATTACCCTCTTTAAAAATCTACTTAAGCTGCCGTGTTCTACCAGAATGATGAAGACTCATCTGGTCATTGTGGCAGAAATCGCATAAATCTTGTCTGGGATCTGTCTTGTACCTTGGATAAAATATGCAGGATGTCTCTTTTCCATTTGCTATTTTAACACTGAGGAATGTTTTCTAAATATTTCATGATTTTTCTGATTGGTGACCTACCAGAAGACTAGACTTATCCAATTTTATGGAGAACAGGTGCATAACTAGAGTATGGATTCAATGGGGGTTTTGATATTGTATTGCGTCCACATATCAAGTAAAGATTTTGAAAATGTCAAGTCTACTCAGACTTAAAGCAAAGCTGTACTTCCTGGCCACTGCTGTATGAACACTGTACTTGCAGAATGGTAACGGCAGTTTATCAGCAGATTCTCAAGATCCTCTAAGCTGAACTGGAATTAAAAATGGAAATAGAGAAAATTCGTATCTATGTTACTGACATGCACCAGTCCTGAGAATCTGTAGCAATATTAGAAAGGAAACTACCCCTGTTTTTCTCAAGTGAATGTGTTCTGTGCACAATCTAGAAAAAAGGGCCAACATAAAACTGCTAAATAATTAACTTTACTCTTCAAGTATCTTTGAGACACTGATTAAAATCCCTTTACAGACCTATTACAGTTGTACTAGTACTAATGCAATAGCACCTAGACTCCTCAGCCCCACTGCATTTGGCCTTGTCCTACCAGTAATAGGATGACCTTGTCCATCTCTTTATGTTATTTCACTGTAATGCAAAGGGGCGCCTTGACCCCTCTCCCTTTGGAGAACAACACAATTATGTTGGTAAGGGGAGGTATTTCTGTCTAAACTCGGCCTGAGGTGGTAGATCAAGGCTGTGAAAATGGATCTGGTAATTTCTTCTGAAATCTAACTGAAGAGCTTAGATTACTATGTTGGGCCTATTGCTACAGAGATTTCATCAATAATCATATTGAATCAAAATTACTCTTGTGACTTTTGGTACTATTTTAAGACTTTATTTTCATTCCCCATAGGAAAATACCGGTTTTCCTAAAGCTCTTGTATTTATAACCTGCTAAAAGTATCTTCTTCCCAAGGACATGGAAGGATTTTTATTTGAGTCTGTTATAAACCGAGAGGGGAACAGACTGACTACTCTGCTCTAGATTTGTCTTTCTTCTTGAGTCTATTTTCCTTTTGTTCCATTTCTGCTATAGCAAAGACAGAATTTAAGGGGGAGATATTTTTTTACACAGCTCAGATTTATGTTCCATCTCCTCCAGTGAACTGTTTTTACCCTCACAGCAAGACTTTAGACTCAGATTTCTGAGATGTGGATCAATTTTTGTGCTTTACTTCTATTATCTTTAATCTGAAAAATGTGGAGGAGGAAGCAGCTGCATTGACTGTGGTTCTCTCTAAGATAAGTTTTCATGAAGACCGGTATCTACACTGTTCATGTAGGATCTGCAGTAACAGACAAAATTCTTGTCAAATGACAGAAATTCAGGAACAAATCAAAACTCGATTCTTACATCAGTGCATTGATTTTTTTGTGTACATGTATGTATGTGACTGTGTGTGTGTATTCTCAGGGGAAATATACCTTGAGTTATTTTATTTGGTGATTTTGACCATGGCTCATCATTCATCTTTTCATGACTTGATGGTTTGTTTCTTTTGGCTTTGCTCATACTTCCTTTTAGAATGTTCCAGTAGAGTTGGCTTATTTAATCAGACATGCAGACATGGGTATCTTTTGTGACTCGGTCTGTATTAA